AGGAAGCGATAAAATTGCCTGACAGGCCACTCAAAAGATGCGAAAGCCAGAGAAACCATAATGAAGCGACCACTGGCACAAAAAAAAAAGATAGCAATACTTTCAAACACTAAAGAATAATGACAACCCATTAACGATGCACGCCTTGATATGCGCCAACCGCACAACTCCATTCTGCCCCACTCCATGGCGCAGCACATCACATATCAGTCAAAGGATCAGCCACATCAGCAGAATCAACACAACACAATCGCGCCATCAAAAAAAACACTGGACACAAATATAAGAGCAAGAACAACAGCAACTCAGTAATTGGAACAATCGGAGCACTTTAGGCAGCCAGCCAAGAGGCGCATAATAAAAGGCGGTAGCAAACGAGGGAATAATGGTGCTGAGGAAATGCGCGACGGTTGGGCGCAAGCAGCTCAAAAGACAATTACTGACATTAGGCTGTGCACAAGGGAAGCGCGTCGCGGCGATATCCCGAACAAGAAGAAAGGCTATTTTTATAAGAGCGCTGTGCAAAAACTACTACCATCAGGTAGCGCGCAATAATTACTAAAACAAAAGCAACACACGCTAGTACTCTCTCTTCATATCAAAAGTATCAACGCTTTGATGAGGTCCTCTTGATGTGGCGCATCAAAAGCGTTGGATGTACGCGTCGCGCATCCATCAGCAGTCATCGAATGCCAATCGCCGCCGCTGTAGCTGTTGATTTTGCCATTCTCCGCCGCGTCATATTGCTGTGTACGCGGCAATAACGACAAACACATCTACATTGGCAAACAACAATGCTGCGCGTCAGATTTAATACGCCACTCAGCCCGGCCATATGTGCTTTGATCGAGTGGAGCGCTCCATTTTAAAGGGAATTTTTCTTTTATATGCGCATAGTGTTCGCGCGCTATCTCCACTGTGGTTGAAGAGCTTCGCCATCACCGCGTTCGCCGCACTAGCCGCCATTTGGCCGGATTTAATGGCGGCACACAAAGGTGCTGGGCACGCTTGTGTGTGTATGTGCGCGCACTGTGTCTGCGCTACCTGCCTCGGTCGGCACCACCGACAGATAGGCGAGCTAAATTGCCAACTTGACATCATCAAAATGTACGATGTGGAGCGCGCAACGCAATAAAGTGGAGCGCGCATTGAAGGGAGCTCTGCTGCCGCAACATGACTGCCTCCTTACTTATTTTCTTCAACGTGAATACATACATACATACAGTAGTATGCTAGCGCTATAAAAACGTTTATGCGCTGCGCAGTGCTTTGTCTGATCTGCATACAATTGCCCAGCACTCAACTACAATCGCTGCGATTCAATCCGATCATCTGCGATGCGATACAGTCGCTTTACCTTGCTAGTGCGATGCGTATCTCGTTGCGCATGCATCCCTGCGGGCGTTGATATGTTGAAGTGCTGGTGTAAGCGACAATAAACCCAGCTGCCGCATTTAATTTTGAAGCCACGACGGAGTTGTGGCTAAAGCAATACTCGTTTTCGCCCCTACCAATAACTGTTTTTTTTTTTTGGTCGCAAGCAAGTTATGGCCATTATTGAAGTGCTGGGACCAAGACGAAATGCGATTATTTAGCATATACGCAAGAGGATGTATAAACATTGTACAATTGCATTTTCACGGAAAAGTTCCTGCTTAAAGTTTATTCGGAAGATTCTAGAAACGGAAAAGGAGTCACTCGGAAGTTAAATGTATGTATCGGAAACAAATTATTGGATACAGCTTAAGGAAACGGAACAATGAACTGCCTATAGGAAGTTTTTTTTTGTTGTATTTGCACAAGATGGCGCTAGCTTATACGAAACTCGAATTTTCACTTACCCAAGCCAGCAGCTTCCACGCGATTCTCGATATTTGCACAACCTTTCTTTGCCATTAAAACACGCAACATCGATTATAATTTCATATAATTATTACACTCGAACACCTATATATCACTTCACACACCTTTTTAAACTATTAAATTCACTAGAAAACTCACATTTAATTAATTTTACAAAGCGCGCACACCCGCTCGCCAATTGGACCAATTTCGAACTGTCGAAGTTGGCGTTGCCAGGTGGTCAAATAATTACGATATACATAAAAGGTCGTAATTTATGGTTTAGCGCATCAATTGGGCTGTTAACTATTTACTAAGGATAATACAGGAAATCTTAAGTATATTAAGCTTTTCAGTGATCAAAACCTACTTCGTTAACTAGCTCAAATCTTCGTTGGAAGTTTTCATAAATTATTGTACCGTACGGCAACACTGGCTCTAAACGACTTGACAGTTTTAATATCGTAACAAAATATTGGCGGTCATACAAGATATCGTAATATTTAATATAAACTTTAACAGTGCAAATGTATTAAAAAATGGTTTTCCTGCGTTCATTTCGTTCAAAGGTCTACAAAATCCGGAAAGATTTCGTGAAAACTCTAACACGGCGGGAGTGCCCTTTCTGTGTAGTCAGTGATTGGCTAAATCAAATGCATTGCAAGGACACCACTAGACTCCATTCACTGTCCTTCAACTCTACAAACGGACAACCAGTGCTCCACCAAGGTATAGTGTCATAATTTCTCGGCAACATTCGCCGCATAAATTCCCGCATGGACTGTCGAGCAGTCGTCCGCGTTTGACTGGCCAATAATTCCTGCAAGCTGCCTGCTGTGTGCGCATGCAATCTAAATTTAACTTAGTGCCTGCTGCAACCTGAGTAGCTATCTGCCTAAGCTTTTGGTTGCAGGGCCAGCGTATACTTATAAACATTATTGTGTTGGTTACTTCTCCAACCTCGATTGGAATGCAGTTGTAGAGGCTGATAAATATCGCAATGCGAATGACCGCCACAGACTTTAATCATCATTTGTCCAGCCCCATTCGATTTGGACTGCGAAATCAATGGTGTGTCAGCCGCAGCAAGTTGAACGATGTGACTGTAACTGTGGTAACTAAGTGGCTAACATGCAGACTGGCATGTTGCAAACGACTTTGATTTATGCGTTTGTTGCAAAAGCTGTCCAGGTGTGTTTTAAAAAATGTATAACGTGCCGCAGTACGTTGATGCAGCTTCAAGCTGCAATCATCCTTGCTTTGCACAGCAATCTGGTTCCGCGTTTTTTGTCACTCATTGGAGCAGTGTTTTTAATTATTTATAAGGCATTTCCTCTATTAATTCATTCTCCAACTTATTTATGCTCCATTCAATGACCAAACCGCTTTTATTTTTCTTCATATCATTACAGTCATCATAAAGGGCATATTGCCTCATTTTGAGAAAAAAGGAGCTGCACCGTCATGTTGCGACATGTCTCTTTATCATCAGCAGCACTGTGGTTCTGGCAGCTGCAAATACTCTGCCATCAGCTTGTGCTTACGTCGGCGTCACAGCCCTCGCTGGGTGTTCACATCGTGCGCTCACCCGAATCCGCGGTGGCGCCAAAGGGCGATGAGGTTGTTTTCGAGTGTGAATTGAATTTGCTTTGGGAGCGTTTGGAGTGGCGCTTCCGTCACACAAGCACTCGCGCAACAGATGCCATGAACTACAGTTATTTACGCGCTGAGGTGAGTAATTCATCACGCCTCTTTTCTGCGTATGCTGTGGGTACCACTTCACGTATGTACATATCTATCATTTTCTTTACTGTCACCCGCAGGATGGTCACAATATCACCAATGATGATCTCACGTCACGTCTGCGTGTTTTCGTCTCACCCGAAACTTTGGGCGACTATCAGTGCGTTGCCTGGTTCGGTTCAGCCGCCATCGCTTCGACGCCTGCGCGCTTGACACTCGTCTCCATCAGCATCGATAACTCCAACGGCTACAGTCGCAATGCCATACGCTGGAGCGTCGCGCCTAAGAACTGCATACTAATACGCTGCGGCACAGTCAGCTCGAATCCGCCCGCTGTGTGGAGCTTTTTTCGCAACGGCGAGAAAGTGCCGCAGACCGAGGTGCTCCCGTCAGCAAACGGCGCCCTTATACTTAACTCCGTGTCCTCGAAGGATTCCGGTAATTATACCTGCTCCGCGATGAACGCCATCACAGGTGTCGAAGTGAGGCTGCCGCAACGCATCGATTTGCGAGTCGACTACACCGATCGCACGCCGCCATACTTTCTCAATCCACCGCCGGCGCAGGTGACCGCGCGTCCTGGAGAAACAGCGGTTTTAGAATGTCCAGGTGTGGGATCACCTTCGCCGGAAGCAGTTTGGAGCAGCCCTAATGTAATCAACATCTACAATAACCGCACAAAGGTGCTGCCTTACGGTCTACAGATCTCCGATGTGCTGCCTGAGGATCAGGGCTCCTATGTATGCCGGCTGGACAATGGTATTGCACCTGCGCTGGTGCAGATAATAAAATTTATTGTTTTGGAGGCACCGCAAATCTTGCGCGGCCCAGCAACGACGCTCACAAACGAAGGCGAACAGCTGGAGCTAGAGTGTTCGGCGGCAGGCAATCCGTTCCCTCAGATTTATTGGCTGATCAACGGCGAAGACACTTCGTTGGACAACGAAACGTTCCACGAAGACCGCAGATTGGTCATACGACATGTGCAAAAGCGGCACGCGGGCATCGTGCAGTGCTTCTCGAAAAATGAAGTGGGCGAGGTGAGTTTGGCGACGGAAAAATTTTTGGGAGAAATTTGTTAATAGTTTTTGTTCGCTCAGGCAAGCGAGGGAAGTCTGCTGCAAGTAAATCCGAAACAAATACAAGGCGAGGGTTCAGCTCCACTGGGCAATGTGCCAATTCGGACGTCTTACGAGCATACAGGCAACAAGAATAAGGGCAAGCGGAAGCATATGAAAATGCGTGAGTATATTAACCAGTGCTTTACATATTCAAATTTTCTAAGACTTTTAGTTTCAAAGATTAGCTAATATTTTTAAAATTTTCACAAGTGTTTATAAATTAATTTCGTGTTCTCTCTTCTCTTTGGGAGTATTTCCTAAAATTTGCTTGCAATTAATCATTACATTTTACCATTTCCATGCGGTTCAGTACCAGATTTCAGTTTTATTAGCTTCAAATTAATTCGAGATAGATATCCATGTACAATTCGGATTGTTTTCGTCGCGGCGACATCTTACACTAGTTTACATTTGACTCTAAAATACGCTCTTCTGTTTAGCATAACTAAAATTCCATAGACTTATTTCATACATACATACTTATGTATATGTATACAAACGTGTATACCAAAAAGTAACAATTTAAAATGCTCTTCCGCATTCGCCGTTATCATTAGTAGTACAATTACAAAACTAATATTTGTATATAAAAATTTAATATGATATTATGTACTAGAATCAAAAAGCTTAGAATTAATTTATGAAATACGCAAATATGTATATCCCACTCTCTCTCCCTTTACACTCCTCCGACTTTGCATCCAACTGCTGATGACGTCTCTCTGCTCCTATACCGCGCTTGGGCTCTTACGCAATATTTTTTCCTCCTCCTGCAAGATGCGTATTTTCATCTTCAGCTCCTCCACCTGTAGACGATGCACCTCGCGCAAATGCTTCAGCTCCTCCTGGGCCCGATTTAATTCCATTTTTTTCTTCTCCAATGACACTTGCACCTCCTTGAAACGCAGCTCAGCCTCCTTTAAACGAAAATATTGCACCTTCTCTTCGAACGACTCCACCGATATTGTTGTATTTCCCTGCGGAGCTGAAGCCGCTGCTGCATTGCTTACCGTCACAGTGGGCACGACTGGCGCTGGCGCGGGCGCTGTGGCAACAGGCAGCGCGTGCAGCGTGGTGCAAGTGAATGTGGGCGTTGCAGTGGCAAACTGTGCGGTGGCTGGCGATTGCAGCTGCATTTTCACTTGGTGGTGCTGCTGTTGTTGTTGTTGTTGTTGCTGCTGATGCTGTTGCGCCGCAACGGCCAGCTGATGTTGAGCAAGCTGCTGTTGCTGCAACTGCTGCGCTTGGTACTGGGCCAGCGTGATTTGCTGGGGCTTGATCTCGCTGATGATCTGTTGATTGTAAGCGGCCGCAGGCATAGCGGTAATGGTGTGCTGCTGCGTCTGGTGCTGGCTGGGTATGGTGATACGCGTTGGCGATGGGATTGTGATGTGGGCAGCTATAAATGGAAGTAGAGTTGGGCAATTAGATAAAAGATGTGCATGCAATGCGTATCATGGTTAGTACTCACTGGTTGAATCGGTTGGATGTTTTATTTGCAAAATGATGTCCTCGCGAGGGCGTGTAGTTTTGAATTGTAGCAAGTCGTTAAGCGTCAGCTTCTCAGCGCTGATTTGATCCACTGAAATCTGTTGCGTCTGTATATTTTGCTGCTGCTGTTGTACGTGATGTTGCAACACTTGGTGGTGTTGGTGTTGGTGCTGCTGTTGTTGTTGTTGTTGTTGCTGCTGTTGATGCAATGGATCGATATGCTCCTGCTCCAGCTGTCCATCGCTGGTATCCATATCGATCTCTTCGAATGTCTCATTCTGGGAACCGGGGTCTTCTTGCTCTGCGTTGGTGAGCTGGAAATCGGGTTCATCTTTTATTGGGTGGTTTACTACCTCCGATTGTTCATTTGTTTCGATGCTAGTTTGTGTATTGTTTGCCTCCTTCTGACCATTGGGACGAAATGGATACTGCTTGCGTAGTCTGGGGAATGTTCGGAGAAAAGGAGATTATTAGGCACTGAGGAAAAGGCAATTATGATTTAAATGGCAACTCACACCAGCTGACCACACACACACACACACACACATTCCTGCATATGTACAAACATAAACCTCATATAATTGCTGCTCAAGAAGAAGGAAATGCGAGACCTGCTAGCGAGTGGAATGCCGCTACTGTCGCACACTCGGAACTGTACTCGGCGTAGCACTCAAGCCGAGCGCGTTTTGTTCATTCATCGATTTTGTACATAGCCAGAAAGTGTTTAATATATATTTTTTTAAACGTTGATAAGCAGGTAAGGTGGAGGCTCACATTTGCGGAAATCGAAAATATTCAGCGTTTTTGATATATACTGTGAGTATATTTTGTATATTTGAGATGCAATTTGCTTGCGTTGAGATATTCTCGTCGCAGTTCGTTTGCCGCCATTTTTAATTGCACTCGAAAGACGAGTATGTGAATGCTGACGATGAATGAGGGCATGAGTAAATCCCATTGCCTTGCGGAGTGAAGCGCAACGCTCAGATATTTATGTAAGTATGTATATACATACCATCGCGATACTCGTCCAAGTGTCGAGTTGTTGTTCTTGTTTTGCACTTGTGCATTTGGCTCGGTTCTGTGAACGACTTTTCGCTCGACTTGCTGCTATTTTGAGGCGTTTTTGTGTTTTTGATGGGGCTTTGAGTCCATGAGGCGCATTAGAGCAGCACATATTTATTTGTTATGAGTTGGAATGCGGCTTTCAATGAGCTGCTTAACGACACATGCTTTAGCTAAAACATTCACAAAAACACATATTCGTACACACAATACTAATACATATGTATGTATTTGATGCGATCAGTGCATTTCACCGTCGACTGTGTTGAGTGGCCCCCATACGCGCGTAACAGGTGCAGAAATTGGAGCAACCACACGCAGGTCAGCAAATGCACCAATCGCCTGTGAAGCCATAGAAACAGCAAAGCTCCACCACGATACCTCTTATTACCAGGCACGCCCCTGCGGTTCACTTACCTCGCATTCAGCCAGAACTTCTGAATCTGCTTCAGGTTTCGCACAGCGCTCACACCCGGATGTGAATTGAATTCGCGTACAATATTTTCCCAGGCATCGCGTACTGAATACTTGGAGCGCTGCTTCTTCCTGAACTTGATATCGATGACCTCCTCGTGCTCATGGAATAGGCTGTAGAGTATCTCCTTCTCTTCTTGCGTGAATCGCGGTGTCAGCGTCAGTTGGCCAGTCTTGTTACCGGCCCCGCTGGCACCCGCACTGCCCGTGGACGTGTTGGCGACGTTATGCTCCTCCGCACCAGTGCCCGTGGTGGTGACCACAGTCACGGTGCCATCACCGCCGCCGGCCACGCCAGTGGACATTTGACGCGATTTTCTGGCTATGTTGACGGCAAAAACTTACAAACGAGCAATGAAGAAGCCTATGGACAAGCGCTGCTACCTCGGCGACAACGACTTGTGCCACCTATGTACGTGTGGGTGAAGCTGTCGTAGTTACCCTGCCTGCATGCAGCTCCACTCGCAAACAGCGTCAGCTCAAGCGGTTTTGTTGGCGCTTAAAAAGGCGAATCGCTTTTCGCTCCACTAAATAGCTACATATGAATATTGGAAATTGTTCTCAATTTAACATTTTTCAACTGCACTCCACTATGGTTGTTATTGTTGTTGCTGCTGTGAACAAACGCACTTGAATGGAAAGCTGCGCTGCCCTGAGCACTTTTGCACTGAGCTGCGATTTCTAATAAATTACCAACGCGCTTTACTTTTAATTAACTTTGCAATAAGATTGGCAAAGATTTTTACACTTTTCGAGTAGATTTTATTTTTCACAAACAGCAAATAGAGAAAATTTTATGTGAAACAAGCGCTGCCACACTCTTCGCAAATCCACTCACAACGAGCTACAGAAAACGAGTGCGAGTGACGAGTGGCGAGTGAACGGCGGTCGGCCATGTTTTGAGTTGGTTTTTGGCAGCTGCAGTGCTGCCAGAGTGACACTTTTGCGTAAGAGATTTAATGGGGATTTTTAAGTTAGTAGTTGTAAAATTGTGTGTGCTGTGTGGATGTGGAAAAGGTAGTGATGATTAATGAGTGTGTAGGTGAGTGAGTTTATAGGCTTACGCACATTCGTTTCTCTTTTCTTACGGAGAAATGGTTCGAGCACAAGTAACAAAGTATTGCGGAAAAATGTAATTCTGACCATTTGCTTTTTTAATCGTTAATGGCGAGATGAAGGAAGAATACGTCTCTTCCGATATTGTCTGACCAAGAAATGTAAATCCTTGGACGTTTAATTTTAAATTAATCACTATTTGGAAAAAGACTCAAAAATTGAAGGAGATTTATTTATTTGTTCGTGTTTCATAACCCTATCTGAAATGGGTGCTAATTTAGAAAGTATTTTTAGACAACGTGTAGTGGCAACGCTACTCGCTTATGGCGCCATCTGTAGGTAAAATTTTGTGGTTTTCATATTTCCTAGTGTCGATTAGTGCTAGTAAAGTACATTGACGCCCAAACTGTCTTGTGGCTAATGACTTGGCACAGAGCTCACAAACTTCTTCAGTCGTCGAGTCAGAGAACTTAATAGTTTTAGAGCTATTGCCGTCTTCTCGAAAAGCGACGTTAAATCAGTTAACCAGACATCCTACCGACATGTATTTCGACCCGCTGAATATGAATCTGAGGTCCGTTTGACTCGTACACCTCCAAAATTTCGAGTAAATTGCGATTTTTTTTTAATTTGTTTTCGGTTTTTCGTAATTTACTCGAAATTTAGGAGTTATAGATTTTTGTTGTTGTTGTTGTAACAGCATAAAAATTCGCCCAAAGAGCTTTTGGGGAGTGTTGCTGGAGTGAGAGTCCTTGGCCAGATATTAATCTGGGTCGTGTGTGCTTTTTTGTGCTGGTAAAATTAAACTTTGTATAAATTTGAACTACAATTCTATTTTCTACTTTTCATAATTTTTGCACAATTTTCTGCTAAAATTTGTTTGAATTGGGTTCTCAAAAGGCACTTTTTTCTGTTCCATCAGTTACCAAAATAGGTTCCCTTCTTTTTTTCTCCACTGTAGCAGCTCAGTCCTCATGCACCTCTCCACCGTCGTCGTCCATGTCTTCTAATAGATTCGTTTCCGGTGCTTCTGGATAGAATTTCTTTAGTATATTTCGTATTTCTTGCATCAGCGGCTCATAGCTGGGCGGGAATTTATCGCGCCTGGGTGGTCCCTTATCGATACCCGACCAGAGTTTGTGGACTGAGGTGCGCGCATTCTGCGAAAAGCCGATCTCGAAGGCGCCCTCCCTCGGCAAAACTTTGCCGTTTTGATTGCGTACCAGTTGTATGATGCGATTGGGCACCTGCACTCTCACATACGTGGCGAACTCCTCGGCCTTGGTCTGGAATATCGGGCACTCGTGCGTGTGCTCGATGTAGATCATACAACGATTTTTGTCGAAGTTCGCGTCCGCCGCCCAGTCGATCTCCCGTATCTTCTTCGACTTTTTGCCCTTAGGAGCCATTGGTGCGGACAGTGAGAGGTGGAAACTGAGAATTTAGAAACGACACTTCTAGACAATTTCAAAATAGTTTTATAATTTTTATTTTTAATTGGTATGTACATATGTATGTGTTTCACTTTTGGAAACGCTTGCTTTTATCGATATGCAATCGATAGCTTTTTTTATTAATAAATTCTTTTTAAACCACTTTTTCAGCCAACATGATTCCGCCTTCGCGCCCGAACGTCACGCGCCTGGCCGACGACTCGGTGATGCTACGGTGGTACGTGCCGAAGAACGAGGGTCTACCCATACAATTCTTTAAGGTACAGTACCGTATGCTCGGCGATCCGAGCCGCCAAATACCGCGCGAAAACTGGCAGACCACCAACGAAGACATCCCCTATGGCAAGCGGGACCGCGGTTTCGAAGGCGTGAAGAACTTCACTTCATCGGTGGCGGGCTTGAAGCCGGATCGCTTCTACCGCTTTCGCATAATCGCCGTCTACTCGAACAATGACAACAAGGAAGGCAACACCTCAGCGAAGTTCTTCCTGCAGAGCAGTGAAACCCTCGGGCCAACAAAGGCCACGTTGCCCGCACCAGAGCTGGCGCGTGTGGAGCCACTCTCCGAGACCGCGGTGATGCTGCATTGGACGCTGCCTGCGAATCCCATGAACGTACCCGACGGCTACTACGCGTACTACCGACTCGCCTCCTCGGCAGGTGAGTACCTCAAAGCGACGGTGGATGGGCAGCACACGCGCAAGTTTAAGATCGACATGCTGGAACCGGGTACGGCATATGAATTCAAACTGCAGTCCTTTAATGCGCTGGCGGCATCCGAGTTCAGCGCCATACTGCAGGGCAAAACCAAGAGTGAGTAGCATGAGCTTCCTATGGCACCCATATAACCAATTTTAACGCCTTTCTTTTCCGCAGAACCAGCCAATACCGACGCGCCCTCAACGCTAGCGCCCATACCACCGCCAAAAGTCAAGGAGACGAAGAATTCTAAATATCCGGTAGTGGCGGGTATTGCTGGCTTCGGCATCCTCCTAATAGTCGCCATCGTAGCCGCATTCCTCTGCATGAAGCGCCGTAGGCCCGCGCAACCGGAGGGTGAGTAGAGCGCCACCGCAGTTGATGGAGCGTACAAATAGTTTTCGTTTTACTTCCTTTTCAGATGAAGACAAACCGCAGCTGGACCACATACAGGCCGACTTCGTGACGCCCTCAGTGCTGGGTGTGGCGGCACATCATAAATCCGGCCATCGCCTGAACGGCGTCATACCGCGCATGAACATTACACCAAATCCGCTGGCGCAGGAAGCCGACAAGGTATGTAGCAGGCAGCCAACCGATTGTATATATATAAAGCCGCGCAGTCTCTGCGGCGCGTCTCCGTTAAAAAGTCGCACTTTTATCTACGACTCCTATACTTTTACAATAGTTTTTGCCGCTTTATTAGGTATTCGAGTTTTCGATTTGTATAAAAATGCATTCCAATTTCGTGTATGATATATTTGGAAATTTTTACGAAATTCTTTGGACAAAATTTTTGCTTCTTTTACTTTCTATTCTTTTCTAGTGGGGTTGTATGTATGTCTTTCAACAGCTGTTGGTGCCTCGACTATGTAACTACTACTTAAATACTCAAATAGTATATATCTCGGCTATTTAATTTTTCCAGCAACTCTTCTGCAAATGAGAAAATTGAACAAAAAAAAAACTGCGCAAAATGTTTTTTGGCATTTAAGATCTTTTGTAATATATCTTTGGCTATTTGTACATATTTATTTATATATTGGCTGCCGTCTTAAACGCATTAATGCAAAGTATCGAACGCTTTTATTCCTAATTCATGACATATAGAAATATCTCATAAGCGTAACCATAAAGAAATGCCAATTTTTAGTAAAGTTGCGCAAATTTGATAGTTAATAAATAAAAAAGACTGATGCTTTGCATTAATGCGTTTAAGAAGACTGCCTTTGTTTATGTAAAGTTATTCTAAGTTGTATGTATATATTTCTGTATATATTTAGTATAAACAACTAAGTGACCGACAGAAGCGACGGAAGGCGACAATGGGGACAGTTCTAGAAGTACTGACGCTTTTATATTGTTTGTTATTCAAAGTTGTTCCACATCAAATAATTCTACAACTAAAGGTTACCGACACTTTTGGCCAAAACAAAGGTTCACCAATGCCAAATGTTCTTTTCAATTTTTTCTTATGAGGCGTCCAAGGCTCAACAAAAGTTGGATTGTGCCGCGAGAACTATGAGGCGAACGCCCTGCCTGCTTTTGGAGAGGGTTTTCTCTCTAAGAATAGCGGTGCTCTGGACGGTTTCCAAATAGAATTAAATAAAGTCGATGTGCCTAACCGTAAGCGTTTTAATAAGGAGGATAAATTTTTGATTTTAAACGGAATTTGAGCTTTCATGGAAAAATCCAATTTATAGTGATTTTTTTTTTTTTAATTAGGCAGATCCTTAGTTATTTAGATTTCCTCCGGACGTTCATACATTTTTAAAATTAAATATTGTTAAATTATTGACTAAAATCTACTACTATATTTTAGTTAGTTATGTAAATATATATACATATGTACATATATGAATATTATTAGGGCGATTCATAATTCTCTTGTAAACGTGTCCGTACTTTTTCTAGAAATGCAGCTTTAGAAGTTATTATTTAGCAGCCACTTACGAAAGTCGGTGACCCGAGAATTTTGAACTGTCCAATCTTTATTATTTATTAAAGTTTTGTATGTTGTGCTGACAACCTTCCTGCCTACTAATCGATTTTGCTAAGCATCGGCTGCCACCAGCTTTTTGAGCCTACTTCCTTTGGACACAGCCTGTAAATTATTTGCACATACGCACACACAAACTCGCCAGCTTCCCTTCTTCTTTTCTTTCATACTTCCAACTTCAAAACACCTTCTGTCTGCTTCTCGTACAACTTAAACGCTTAGCCAGCTACACACACACACATTTGTATTTATATAAGTATTACTAGTGCGACTCTAAGGCATATTTGCTGCTACTAGCTTAGAAATATCAGCGTGAACTGTTCTAGAATCGCAACGTGATGGAGCTGCGCTTCCTACCCACTGGCAACAGCAACAGCAACGCCACCAACACAAACAGCAGCAACTCGGGCAGCTCCAACCACTCAGCCAGTGCCAGTAATTTGAACACAGCCCACCCACATACCAACAGCAGCCATAGTCTCCATAAGCAACCAGCCGCCGCCGCCGCCGCCGCCGCCGCCTGCCATGTCGCCGACGATGTTGATTCGCACATACCACCGCCACGCTCTTCCTCCTCCTGTGAAACGCTGGAGGCCAGTGAGGGAATTTCCAATGCCATCGATCCGAGCTCGCCACTCTCCAAGCCACTACCGCCGTTGCCCAACTACAAGCCTCACGGACAACAACAGCACCAACAGCAGCCGCATACAACCCCACCGAAAATGACACAAAATAAAGCACAAGTAAGCGCCGCTACAACAGCGACCACAGCAACAGCATCAGCACCAGCCGTAGCTGGCACGCCAAACGCATTCTACAACAACAACACGAACGCAATGCATTTGCATACAAAATCGAATTCGTCTCATTCATCCTCAGCCTCATCATTTCATTCTTTGCATAATTCACAGGCACACCTGGGCTCACATCAAGGTCTGCACCACGCGCAGTCATACCACCCGCCGCCTCCGGGCACGCCAACGCTGATGCACAAGCGTGGCGATTATTTGCCGCATCATCATCATGTGAGCGCTGGCCAACATCCGCCGCCGGTGCCGCCACATCAGAACAATAACCACAGCAACCACCATAATGCACATCATCTCTACCAGCAGCATCAGCAGCAACACGCGCAGTCGCAATCGCCGCTGACGCCGTCATTGGAGCAGCAGCGTCGCACGCTGGAACGCAGCGCGCGCAATCTGCACTACACAGCAACCGCGATGCCAGCGAATGTGACGCAGCAATCACCGCACGATGCCGCCATGAATATCGATGGCCTGCCGACGCGCATACCATCGTTGCGCCGCACGCGACGTACCTCTGGCAGCGCCAATAACAACAATGGTGGCGTGGGCATACCCATCGTGCCGGGCAGTCCGCGGGTGCAGCGTTCACCGATGCCGGCGCGCGCCATGATGAAGCGCGGGCGGCTGGGCAGTCACAACGACAACATGTCCTCGGGCAGTTTGAACAGTATTGAGGTGTGAGTGAGATGTGGTAAGGGGGAGGGTGAAATAAAGGGGAAGAAAGATGATAAGGGGTAAGCGGGAAAAGGGGTTACAGAGCCTTCGAATAATTAATATTAACACTTAGTATAATAGGTTAGGTTAAAAATAGGCAACGTAGAAAGAGAGACATAGTTTTAGGAAGTGGTAAAATACTTCATAGGCATTTTTAGAAGATTTCAAATAAGGGAATTTAGCATTAGGGAACTCAATTGGTGGATTGAGCCAAAGAACGTAGATATTAAGAAGGGACAACTCGTATTGTAGCGAAAATGAGCAACAGGGGCGTACCTTCTATTTTGCCATGGTAAATTTTTTGATTGGAGGAAAAGACTAAGCAAGCCCCTGTTCTCCCTCTCGCTACAATTATAACGAGCTGTCCCTTCTTATTATCTACGTTCTTTGATTGAGCGCAATTTTTCGCAAATAAGATGGCAAGCTGAGATGAAATATATTTTGGAAAATGATTTATTGCCGAGTTTAAGTTAAGTTGCTTATACGGAATAGATATTTGGAAAGCTTAAGGTTCAGCCAGAATAAATTTTCTTAAATTTTAAAACCCTAGATTCGTATGCTCGATAGAGTAAAATTGTAAATATTCAAAATTTATGTAGTATTAAAAGTACGTTTCTAAAATTTAGAAAAATTACATTTAAGCTGTTCGAATATAAAACTGTATAACTCGAATATTTAAAAAAAACTGAAAATTAGTATAATTTTTGCATACTCCCAGCCAGGGTGCCGTTACTTATATAGTGCCTTGTTTTGTAAACACACAGCAAACGGTAAAGCTGTTCCCAAATCACATAAAGACTTAACTGAATTAATTTTAATTATATTTGTAGGTTATAGTTGCCAACTCGA